CCACAACAAAAGCAACTAATCATCATCAAAACATTGATTAATTCATGAATGTTAAATTAATAGGATTGAAGAGGAATGGCAAAAGCTGCAGACTAAGATGGGTGAATTACCTTAGACCGGACCTCAAGAGAGGACAGATCACTCCTCACGAAGAAAGTATAATACTTGAACTACACGCTAAGTGGGGCAATAGGTACTAACCAAGCAAACACATTTTAACCTTTTATTTTCCTAGGTTTCTCGATTGCTTTTGTATTAAGGCTTAGGGTTTTGTATAGGTGGTCAACGATTGCACGTAGTTTACCAGGAAGAACAGACAACGAGATCAAGAACTATTGGAGAACACATTTCAAGAAAAAGACAAAGTCTGTGACAAACAATGCAGAAAAGGAAAAGAATCGTCTCCTAAAGAAACAACAATTCAAGCAACAGAGACAAATGGAGTTGCAACAAGAACAACAATTATTTCAGTTCGACCAACTCGACATGAAAAAGATAATGTCCTTACTCGAAGAAAACAGTAGCAGTAGCAGCAGCGATGGCGGCGATGTGTTCTATGCTCCTTATCAAATGACACATTCATCAACAACCTCTGGGTATAATAATAACCCTAATTCGTTGGAGGAGCAGTTACAAGGGAGATTTGCGCCGGTAAACATACCTGAATCTACTACGATGATGAACGAAGAAAATGCGATATGGAATAGGTTTTGGAACTTGGATGTTGTGGATGGACATGGTGGGAACTTTGGTGGTGCGGGTGCTACTGCTGCTTGCGGCCCAAGGAAGACCTATTTACATAACTTAGTGATTCCATTTTGTTAAGTAAGGTCGAAATTTAAATTTGGAGTTTTGTTTTCTTTCTTTTTTCAGCGTTTGGTTTGATAACTAGTTTCTAATGCTATAAGTTGTTTGTGTGAAGTGTAATGTAAGAATACTACTTCGAGTTCAAGACTATAGAAGTTAGAAGTTGTGAACTATGAAGTCATTTTTAGTAACACGATTTAAGCTCATATGGTTACTTCAAAATTTTAATTTTTGGAAAGATATAAAAACGCCACTCGCAAGTGTTAGTGAAAGAAGATAATGGATATGAGAAAATTTGGCATAAAGCAAGTGGTGATGAGTTATGAGGTTCCATTGTTTTCTATATTCATTTATTTTTCAATAATTTATTATTAATGATTCGCTTGTTGTTATAAAACATTTGCGGCTTCTAGTATGTGCTTTGCAGTTTGTACTTGTTAAAGTTAGCGGATACCCTATATATTGGGTTTAAAAGAGTTCAGTGAAATCCGAATGGATAGTAGTTTATTTCACTTGAAAAACTATTCTAATTAATTAGTATCTTT